CGTAAAAGTAAGCAAGCACTGTCGTTCTGGTTTCATATTGGACTATATTTAGGCAATCAGTTGATCATACTACCGTCCTTTCTTTCTCTATTATTTTTAGTTTAAGCAGCAGCGAGCATTTCTATTATTCAAATATGACGCAATATGAAACACTTTCAAAACACTTGGTTAATATTTGTCCCACACGCAAATCTAAATAGCAAAACAAGAGATACTGTGAAATTGTTCGTACACTAACGTTATATCTTTCTGACTGATCTGCTTGTCCTTCTTCGGAAAGAATTTCTTCAAGAATGTTCAGTTGTCAGCAATCTGCAAGTGGAATTAATGCATTTGTGAACGATAATTAGTCATAACGGCTTCCTGTTCGTTTAGTTTAATAATATTTTATTGCAACTATATAATACATGTAAGATATGAATGACACACAAAAAAAACCAAAAACAAATGTACATATAAGTATAGTGCAAATGGGTTTGGCTACAAGTTATTACAACATTAGCAACAGCCCTTCTACAACATTTGCTCCTCTTATGAAATATTGATTACATTCTACAACTGTTTATGAAAGCTCTTTTTCTATTTTCGTCTTCAACAAACGGGTTATATACAGTTTGTGTAAATTTTCATAATGTTATCAAATAATTATTCATATGTTTTTGTTTTGTGTTTTTGTTTTCTAAGTTATAAAGATAATGCAGGGGATAAAGAAAGAAAATTGAACATTTTTGTTTTTTTTTTTGTAAATTGCAAATTAACATCCTATTTTTGGACTTTGCATTTATGTTTCGTTATCAAGCAAATTCAATCGACGTTACAATTGGCGTAATAATCAATATAGTAAACAAACATATGGTGACATATTTCCGCCAACAGTTAACCATAAAATTATCGCGTTAACTAGCTGACTAACTAGTTAATTTCGTATAAACATGATAAATATCAGACATTTGTCAGACTAAATAAATATTTTTTTATCTGTTAGATAGATCAATAACGAATAAGTATCTAACTTAAAAACACTAAAATATGTCCAGACCTGCCAACACTTACCAGTTAAATAATAGATATTTATCTGTTTATCATTTAAACTTTTGCGTTTGTTAACCTAAGTCACATATAATTATCTTTATAACTAGATACATTTTCAGTTGGTATATAATGCGGATTATCACCGGCTTAAGCAGAATACAACACATTACTATGGTATGGTCAAATATAAAATTCAGAAACATCAGCAAACGTACGCCTGTTACTTTTAAATTCACCACTACACATTACGCGTGTCAATTTCAATATTACAAAGATAAATCAATGTTATATTTTTGAGATAAAATATTAAAATAGGGAAAAACAGAATCCCTTAAGAAATCCATAACAACAAAATTGAAAATGTTGCAGGCTCGGTTTGATTAAACCTGTTAATGGTACTGGTGACTGCATGTTACCTAGCAACGGCTAAAACATATTTGATAATAGTGTACAGATGTAAGGTAAATGTTCTTCTTGTGCTATACGCAGACTGAAAATATTTGCAGATATCATCACCTTGTCGCTATACTGTTTCTGAAGTGAATTTATTTGGAAAGTTCTTAATTCATTTAAATCAGGCTTTGAACAAATACTAGCGTTTTCTTCTTTTTGTAAGAATTGTATAAGGAAGCTCAATTTATTCCTTCTTTGTCTTACCTTTTATTATAAACTTTAAAACTGATAAAAAACTGTTACAATAAAACATTTTTTCAATTTCCCCTTTATTGCTAAATTAAATATTTATTACAAAGTATCTCCCGCATGTCGACTGCCATTACAAATTGTCAAATTTACTGTCTTTAATTTGAAATGCGACATTTTGCACGATAATGCATAACGATTAAATTTTTGGTGAACAATGTCGATTGTACATGTATAATCAGTAGCCTATGTAAAGCTTATAGTGGTCGGTTATTACACGCAATGCATTCGAAAATTAAAACTTCTTAGAACCCAACCTTTGATAATTTTTCGGGATTTCAATTTCAAAGCGTAGTTGTTATTCTTGGAAATTATCAAACAGAACTTCTTCAGGCAAAAATACAGCAAATTGAAATGTTGACATAAATAGTAGTTATATATCTAACATTATTTGATATTAAATAATGTGTGTATTATTCCTTTTGTCGAATAGTCAAAAAGTAAACATCCGTTTTCATCGCAAGTAATTGCAATGTGAATAATTATGTGTCAAACTAGAACATGCATACGATTACGTATACAGCATGCAACAAAGGATTGTTTCACAAATATAATCAGTGAAACATAACGGATATGGTGGACAGACATAGGATAGCATCGGTATTTTGTAAATGCACTTTGTCAAAAACCATGCGAAGAATATTCTTGATACAGAAGGATCAGATCCTGAAATCTTTGTGAGATTTTATTAGATTTGATGCTAGAAGTCAAACTCATATTCGTAACTATATGATTCATTCGATGCTATTGAACTTAATAAAAACAACATACAGAAATATTCTTCTTGAAAATATCATTTTTGACGTTTCATGAAAATAATCAAAGATTTTTCTTAAGCGTTTGTATTTCTTGTGTGTTTCCAAGCGCAATAATCTTTTGTCAAAATAAAAATGGGAATAAATTGCAGCACCTTCTCTCTCTGCGTGACGTAGACAAAAAGAAAGTCGGTGTATTTGTTAAGAATCGCTTAACATGTGATCATGAGATAATCAAACATATTTAAGATAACATGAAGAACTCTGCACGATATCAAAAAACAATACAAACAAATTTTAACAGTAGAAATTCGCCTCCATATAGTTTTTTAAGAACTTGACCCTGAAAAATGGTTTGCATTTACCACTGCATCTATAACAAGCTCTAACCGAGCCTTGAAATGTTTCAGTTTTGAAGTCTTAGGCGTTCTGAAGGGGTTCTGTATATTTTCCCTAAAGAAAATTTGAAGATTTTTTATGGTTAAAAAATGCCGTGTTGAGAATACGAAATTCTTATTAAATTAAATAAAAACTTATATCGTAATATATGCAAATTACTCGTACTTATTTCGTATTGGTAATTATTTTCTGAGAAGCGAGATAAAAGAAAATTATGTCGTTTCCAAACTCGAAAGTTGGATTTTCTAGTAATGTTCCTTGTCTGCTTTAAAAATACTTGACGCAAATTAATGTTAATGTTAACATCAACGACGTAACAAATGCTACAATCCTCAATGAGCTGCGTACCGGAATATTAATGATAGTTAAAAAACCAATAGAAGTATTCCTTTAATTTGATAAAAATAAAAGCAGAGCTTAAGAATGATACACTGTTAAGAAGTCATTACGATAAAATCATAACATAGCTAGTGTTGATTAATTAAATACTCTTCGGTGTTAGTAAAATATGATAAACAAGATCAACAAGGAAAGGCGGCGTTCAATGAACGCAACCCCCACACGACCCAGCAACAAGAACCAGTGGCAAGGAGCCCAGACGGACCCCAAACAATAACAGGACAGGGCACAAGACAGAGCTCGGACAGGCCAATCACTAAATGATAAATAATTTGTAACTGATTAGGAATCAAAAGAAAATAACAAAATGATTGGATAATAGGCCCACAAAGTCAAATGGCACAGGGGAAGGGGACAGGAGACGTGAATAAGCGGTGGGGGGGGTTAATAAAAGAAATAAAAACTAGGGGTAAAGCGGGAAGATACTTACCGTAGACGAGAAAACAACAAGGGACACAAGCAAAAGTGTCACCAAAACAGTATGAAACAACATAGACATACATCTGGGGAACATAGAGGGGCGCCAGCAGCATAATAATGACTGCTGGGGAGTTTAAACTGGTTAATGGTGCACCAAACCTCGCTCTTAGCCCCACCATGTTCCTATAAACGAGACAGTGTAAATAAAATGAATCCCCGCCAAGTGAAATTCTAACAGTTGTTATGGTTACAAAAGGTAAAATAAGTAAAACACTAAAATGAGCATGTAGAAACATATAATAGTAAACTCAATGACCATAACAAAAGTACTCAATGTTCAAAAGGAAGACAGAGCAACAAGAAAATCACCTACAAGGGCCTGACGAAGCAAGGCAAAAGACGAACATTAAGACAATTCAGTCCCAATGGGCTTTAAGAACTGTCCATCATAGAGTCTCCAACTTGGTCCGTCAGATGTAATCAAAAGAGGAAAGCGTAGTGTGCAACTGTAAAAGGGTTGAACACTAAACATGCAGTATGTCTTAAAATAGTAGGGTCATAACCTCTTTTAATAAAACGTTTAATGATTTTAGTAAAAATAGCAGAAAAATTAACATGACCCAAAATCTTACGAAGTAATCACATCGCCATAAAAACCAGGCTGGCTAATCCCTTGTCGCAGAAGAGTTTTTAAATCACAATTTAATTTAGAAATTAAATCAAAGTTACGATTGTAAAATTTAGTAAAATATTTCCGTAATTTATGATAGCGGTAGCCCTGTTTTAGAAGCTTGCAAATAATAAAAATATTCCGCTCGTTGAAATCCTTTACGTTGCTACAAGCTTATAACACAACTAAAACTTACAAAAATATAGCAGTATGAATTATGATTGCTAAGCAAATATTTTCTACCTGATATGTTCTGATTGAGATATACTAAAATATGATAAACTAGACCAACAAGAAAAGGCGGCGTTCAATGAACACTTTTGTAAAACACTTTTGTTTTTGTTTTATATTATGTGTTACAGACTGCGTTTTACAGTTTGTATTAGTTTGAAAAAAAAAATTATTACTTATTAACAACTATATTCAGTTTGTTTTTACTATATACTCGTTTTTCTGCGTCTTTGGGATTCTAACTGCGACAAAATTAACTTTTCCTTTGTTTTCAAATTAACCAAATAAGTTTCAAGTATCTGCAGACGATCATTAAACAAAATTACTTCCCGGCGTTCCAAAATTATAACACAACATCTGCTTTCCAATATGAGATACATACATTCATTAACTGTTCCTGAGTTTAAAAGCTTATTTTCTAGATTCTTGTTCCAAAATATACCATGCAAATGAATATACTGTGAGCTGTTGTTATTTGTTTTGACTGAAAGTACAAATTCAAGAGAATATATGGAATAAACATGTACACGATCGGTTCAATTCTGTTGCTGACGATTTGTCTCAGTCAGGTAAGAAAATTAGTTGTTTTTTTACTCTTTCTGGGGTCTTTAAATTACACTTTTGATTAATTATAAGATTTTACTTTTGATTAATTCTAAGGTTATAATTTACCTTTTCTAAAGAAGACAATTTTGTCTCTTTCATTTCTGAAACAAAATGACTTTGTTACTTACAAACACCCCCAATGTAGACAACTTTTAGCGCAGACTGATATATCTATTATATAAATGTTAACAATTTGAGAAACTAACTTTACATAAGAAATAGCTTGTACTAGATTTGGAGTAGGCTTTGTTCGAGGTTTAACGTTCATAAATCGATAACATTTGTCAGCTTATATATTTGTCTTTTGGGTTAGTAGCTGGAAACAATTGAGCTGCGCTCACGATAACGCACTGTATGCGATAACATTTGTTTCATTGCATGAACCTTTCATGCAAACCTTTTAAATTCTGAAAGATGATTCAAATAAGGTGCGCTCATATTTTTGTTAATGAAACGGCGATAATCGTACAACAAAAGTGACGTTAATCTCACTTTGTGTCACCAAATGTAATATGCATAGTGTTTGTGATGCTCATTGTGTCCATTGTACAAAGCTAGTTTGTTAGAAAGAATTGTGACATGCTTAAATTTTACTTTGTTACCATAAGATGCTCTTACTGATGTTTATGCCAAGCCGCTTTTAACTCTTTATCTTGGACAAAATGTCCTTCTAGACTAATATATAAATTTAAACCTTGTTGTAGTGTCTCTATAGAGCCTTAACTTAATAAAACATTTATTGTTCTATTTCATTTTTGTTAGCTCTTTAATAATGTCTCAGATTTGATAGTTCTATTATTTTGGTTTCATATTAAAAGATCGCTTTTCAAAATCCACCATTTTTATACATTCGAAATGCATAAAATCGGCTTGCAAACATCCTGGCGTTTTCGTTTTACTCTAATCACAGGCTTAATTAAGAAGGAAAATAATAAACCTGTAAGGCATGTGGTAAAGAAAATATCTGAATTTATGTTCACACTGTGAACACTTAACCATGGAATTTATACAGATTGATAAAAATAATAGTTTATTCCCTTTGTTATCTAAACAATAGAAAATGTTCCCTGTCGGTTATCTGACTTGCTTTTTTGAAAAGTGACATTTGCGTTTTGAAATGGATTTCCATTATACTACTCTAAACGAATACTTTTTGTTAATCAATTATTGCGTGTCTGTATTGTATGCTAATAAATATATTTTGTTTTATCTTTTCAAATCTATCTTCTGACCTCTGTGTAAGAATATATAATTAGAATGAATGAAATGCTAATATGAAGTGAATTTCATGTCAGAAACAAACATAAAGGTAAGAAATAACATGATCTGTTGATTTTGTTTCGGTACAAAAATAAAAAAATATCAAAAAAGCACAGCGAGTTCATATTCAGAAAAAGAATACATATCATTTTAGTCAGTTATGTTTTATGACTTAAATGAACTTTTTTCAAATATGAGATACATGTTTTACGAACTACGCATAATTTACTTCATCTGATCCGTTTACACCGGTTGTTAACCAAATTAATTAATTTTCACAGCTGACGTTACCTCATCAATCAAATTTTCGAACTTGATGAAATGACAATAGACAGATTGTAACAGTAATAAAATGACATATAAATTGTATTTTCTTTTACAATAAAAAAAAGTCATACATGTTCTCAAATATTTTCGCTTCAGATGTTTAAATTTTTCTTTCCTTTCTTGCCTTTCAACACAAAAACATTGTTTTCTTCTTGTTGAAGTAAAATATGTTACGTTATTATAAAGTTATCGTCGGTTATTGGATTTCCACACTGACCAAGAAATATTACATTAACTTATCCTATATCTCTTATTTGTATTGAACAAAATGCATATCAAAATCTTCCAAAAATTATACAACACAGAGTGTGAAAACTTATTAAGAAAATATTTCTCCAGAAAAATTTACATTAGAAGTTGAAATATCCAATTGCACTCAAAAACAACAGGTGAATTAAAGACTTGATTTTTGTCTTTTCAAAGCATTTTCTGTTTTTGTTTTTAATGATACATCTCATTCGAAAAAAGGCTGTCAAAACCCATTTTGATGTTAAAGGCTGCAGTGAAAACTGTAGGCTATTGAACCAATTCGACCTTGAAATAATTAACCCTTTCTTAGAGAAATTTTATTTGTATCTGCCAGTCAATTTTTGTGATACATGCTTACAATCAAAACGTAAAAGTAAGCAAGCACTGTCGTTCTGGTTTCATATTGGACTATATTTAAGCAATCAATTGTCATACTATCGTCCTTTCTTTCTCTATTATTTAGTTTAAGCATTGATCATTTCTATTATTCTACAATATGACGCAATATGTAATACTTGCAAAACACTTGGTAAATATTTGTCCCACACGCAAATCTAAATAGCAAAACGAGAGATACTGAAATTGTTCGTACACTAACGTTATATCTTTCTAACTGATCTGCTTCAAAAAAAAATTCTTCAAGAATTTTCAGTTGTCAGCAATCTTCAAGTGGAATTAATGCATTGTGAACGATAATTGGTCATTACTGCTTTCAGTTCGTTCTACAACATCTGCTTCTCTCATGAAAGATTGATTACATTCTACAACTTTTATGAAAGCTGTTTTTCTATTTTCGTCTTTAACAAACGGGTTATATACAGTTTTTGTATATTTTCATAATTTTATCAAATAATTATTCATATGTTTTTGTTTTGTGTTTGTGTTTGTTTCAAGTTATAAATATAATGCAGGGGATAAAGAAAGAAATTTGAACAACATTTTTGTTTTTGTAAATTGCAACATCCTACTTTTGGACTTTGCATTTATGTTTCGTTATCAAACAAATTCAATCGACGTTACAATTGGCGTAATAATCAATATAGTAAACAAACCATATAATTGTCGCGTTGACGAGCTGACTAACTAGTTAATTTTCGTATTAACACGATAAATAACAGATCTTTATCAGACTAACTAGATATTTTTTCTGTTAGATAGATCAATAACAAATAAGTATCTAACTTCAAAAAACATCAAAATATGCCCAGAACTGCCAGCACTTACCAGTTGTTAAAAAGATAAGTATCTGTTTATCTTTTGTTAACCTAAGTGTTAGATAATTATCTCGTATATATAACTATATAGATTTTCAGTAAGTAGATAAATTAAATGCGGAAAGTCACCGGCTTAAGCAGAATACAACACATAACTGTAGTAGTAATGGTCAAATATTAAATTTAGTACCATCAACAGACGTGTTTCTTTTAAATTTCAAATTACACATTACGCGTGTCAGTTTCAATATTACAAAGAAAAATCAATGTTATATCATATGTTTGAGATGAAATTCTCGTACTAAAACATCTTTGTTAATATTAACACATGTGAGGCTAATGTTCTTATAGAGCTATATGCCAACTGACAATATTTGAAGATAACAACACGTGTCTCTATCTATATTTTTTCTGAAGTGAATTCATTAAGAAAGTTCTATATTCATTTAAACAATATATTTTAAATCAGTCTTTGAACAAATTCTAGTGTTGTCTTCTTTTTTAAGAATTGTATAAGGAAGTTCAATTTATTTCTTCTTTGTCTCACCTTTTATTATTAACTTTAAAACTGATAAAAAGCTGGAACAATAAAACATTTTCCAATTTTCCCTTTATTGCTAAATTAAATATTTATTACAGATTAACCCCTGCATGTCGATTTCCATTTCAAACTGTCAAAATTTATTGACTTCAATTTGGTTTTGGACATTTTGCACAATAATTCGTAATGTTAAATCGTGTGTCGTTGATTGATCTTTTGTATAATCAGTAGTCAATGTAAAGCTTACAGTGGTCAGGTATTACATGGAATGTATTTGAAAAGTAAATAGTGGATTTATTAATATTATATCATTTTAAAGTATTCTTAACTAAGCTTCCATTTTAAAATACTCGTATTTGTTCATTTTCTTTGTATGAACACTCATGTAATTATGGTGGTTATAACATGAGATGCAGACAATAAGTCATATTCAAATCCCTAAATGTACTTTGAGCAACAATGTTCTTTAGTGGACAAACCGTTTATGACATCGAAATGTGCTTTGTTAGTTTATCAGAACACGTAGAACATAAAAAAAATAAAATTATGATGATTGAACTTCCATATTAAGACTGCATTATGTTTTTGAAATCAAAAGAATTTATAAAGCAAACATGTTTACCCACCTGGACTCTCAACAGCCTACCCTAATAAGACTGTTATGACTGTGTATTTATTGAGGCAGTATAGCAGTTTTGAATACTTTTAAATATAGTTCACTTTAACAAACAAAAATTAATGTTATACGCATTATTCAATTCCATTTTAAAAAAAGAGTTTCACCACCATTTGATGTACCGGAAACCACATTTGTTTTTATTGAAGTACATTCCGGATTTCCTTACAAAATTAATGAACAACAGGCTAGGCAAATGGCTTATTTATATGGCATGCAAGATATTTTCGTAACAGATATTTAAAATTATTTCCATAATATATGATTAACGATAACAATATTTCAAGAATGTTCTATTGAAAGGGAAACATATGATGACAAGTCACTTATTTTATCTACTTTCCCTTTTTCTCAGGGAGAAAAGTTTTTTTTAACTGATAATATACATAAATGTGACCTTATGCGAATATTTTTATTTTCAAGTTGACCTGAATATTGACTGTATATTTCACAAAATTGACTGTTGATTAATAATGGTGATTGACTAACCGTTAATATTGGAAAATGTTTATTATAAATCTGCCTAAAGCATAAAAACTGCCAGACTCAGTTATAAATTGAATGTTACCGGCTGTTCGCTTACCAACTCTATAACAAGTAGAGAAACTGATAGCGAACAGTATGGATCATGATCAGACTGCGCGGATGCGCAGACTGGTCTGGATCCATGCTGGTCGCAAACGCACTATGTTGGTT